TTTTTTTGATAAAGGTGATAAACAACACAGAAATAAATAATTTTTATTCTGACCACCACATCCTTCAGAGAAAAGATAAAATTTATTATAACAGTTAGCATTTAATTCTTTTTTTATTGCATCGAATATAAAATTGCACACGGTATTACCACCTTTTTTTAAATTTCCCTCCATAAAAAAGTACGTATAACTTTTACTAATATCATTATTTAGGATATTAACATTAAAAATATGCAAATATAGTAGTCGACGATAAAATTGTTCGTTGCATGGAATTTTCGGCAATGACAAATTCTGACCAAAGTCAAATTCTATGCATAGCCCTACTGAAAATCCCTGTATAAGATCTTGTACAATTTCCTGTACAGGATCAGCAACTGAACTTGTACAAGTTCTGACCAGTTCCTGTACAGGAAAATGCATACGAATTTGGAACAAGTTCATGTGTGAGATCTTGTACAAGATCTGGTGCAAGATCTTGTACAAGAAAGATACTTGTACAAGAAAATGTACATGATCTTGTACAATTTTATGTATAAGTAATTGTACATGAACACGTTTATGTTCTTGCACATGAAATAGTTGTAAAATTTTTTTTTTAATAAAATTTGAGATTTTGATAATTTTTAACCACTAAGATTCGTAACTCATGCATGCTAAAAACTATTGCGCAGCTGTAAAGGTTAAAGTAAACTATTGCGCAGCCTTTGAAGTTTTTAATTTTTAGTAAAGAAAAACATGAATTAACATGTGCAAGAACATGGACGTGTTCATGTACAAGTACTTATACATGAAATTGTACATGAACATTTTCTTGTGCAAGCATCTTTCTTGTACAAGATCTTGCACCAGATCTTGTACAAGATCTCACACATGAACTTGTTCCAAATTCGTATGCATTTTCCTGTACAGGAACTGGTCAGAACTTGTACAAGTTCAGTTGCTGATCCTGTACAGGAAATTGTACAAGATCTTATACAGGGATTTTCAGTAGGGAGTACATCATTTTCAGATAACATTTTTTTTAACTTATTATAATCTTCTACACATTTTTTATGGTCATCTAATTCATTATTATGGTTTTGTTAAATCTGTTTAAAAAACAAAAATTACAAATATCCGTCCGAGGTTTTTTAAAGGAATAAGATAAATTATGATTAAAATATTTTATGTACGTAGATTCTTTCATTGGAGGATTTGGATCTTTTGTTTTTTCTTTATAGTAAACCGTAAATAAGTTATATAATTTACTTGCACTTAAGTCTGAATTTTCAAAATATAATAAATTTGTATTGTTTTCTCGATAATGAGATTTTGAATGAGGAATTGACGAACAATATTCAGCAATCATTTTTTTTATTTCGTCAGATAAACGAAGAAAACGACTCTCATGTTTGCCTCGTTTATCGTGAAGAGATTCATTTTTCGTAATCTTTTTCTGAATAGAAGTAAATCTTCCCCTCTTAATATTCAAAATATTGCACAGCAATTTTTGACAAACAGGTACATTTAATGATAAAAAGTGAAAACTATAGTCCCACTTAATAATATTGTTTTGTCGATTCTCACAATCCGTAATTTTTTGTGTCATCAAACCACTTAATAATATATTTTGAGTATTGTAATTCCCAGCAGATTTCCAAAAAAAATTAAAAAAAATTTGTTCACTCAAATCATGAATTTTTTTAAAACACTTTGGAAACAAAATACCACTGGTTTGAAAATTTTCGCGGGAACAATTTTATTTGCCTTTGAAATGCATTGTCTTCCCTATAACATAAACAAAACAAAAAAAAATAATAAAAAAATTAAGTTGAACCAAAAATTATACTTTACAGTTAAGTATTAAAAAATTCCATTAATTATTTGAAATATATAAAAAATTATTACGAATTAATTTCCTCGTATGTAATTTAATTTAATTTAATTTATTATTTTTTCACTTCACTGAGAAAAAAAATTTATTTTATTTAAATACTTCATTACTTCACTATTAACAAATAAATATTTACTGGAACTAAATAATTTTTATTTAAATTAAATATATTGTATTTGAACCAATAATTTTTTTATTTAAAACAAATATCATATAATTGACTCAAATAATAAGTAATTGATACTAATAAATATTTATTTGATAATAATGAAGTAACCGATTATTATATACTATATTAATAATAATTTTTATGCTTTTTAAAAAAATTTTATTTTGTAAAAAATATTTTAAAAAAATTATAGATTGATTGTAAAATTTTTTTTAGTTAATTAAATAAATTACTTAATAAATAATGAAGCAATACAATCAAAAAATAACTATTTTTTGCACAAAAGTATAAATATTAATAAACTTACTTAATTTCTCAACATTTTTTTTACATTTTGAGTCCAGTTTTTTTCATTTCTGGATCATTAATACCGTTCCTTTTGAGATACTGACTTGTACATTTGCAAATTTTTAGATTAATATTCAATTTACTATTTACACTATTGTTTACAAACATATAGGAAATTTCAATAATGAAATCATTACTTTCTTGACAACTATTCAATTTACTAAATTAATAAATAATATCGATTTATACAAATTACACTTTGTATTCAAAATAATTTTCTTTAATACGTTAAGAAAGCTAATGTTAAAACTTTAAAGTTCCGATAAAAATAATTTTTTTAAATTAGTACACATTTTCTAAATATTAATAAAAAAAGTATATCTATATAAGATATAATTATAAACAAGAAAATTTAATTAAATAAATAATTATTTATAAATTAAAGAGCGAAGCATTTTTTTTTAGTTAATGAAGTCGAAAATTTTATAAAAACTCTATATTGAGTATACAATAAAATAAATTATTATTTATTAATTATTAATAAATTTGATGAGGATATTAGAAATAAAAGGAGAAATATAAGAAATAAGAGAACTTTATTATATAATTTATGTGCCGGCAACTTTTAGTGTAGCAGCTCGAATGGTGAGCAAAGACTGACTATATTGAGTATAATAAGGAGAAGTACAAGGATTACAGGTTCGTATAACGAGTCTTAAGAGTTTGTAGCTTGCTGAAACCCCAACAAAATTAAAATTAATGTTTTATTTTTATATGTAAATACTTAACTAAAAATAATTATTAAAAAGTTAAAACATATTCATTATAAGCTATAGCGAGCAAAAATACTCATTTTCAGTATAACCAAGGTGTTAATGGAGCACCATCGCGCTGCGCGCTTTTGAAAATTAATCTATAACTTTTTAATTTTTTTATGAATCTTCTTCAAAATTTACAGAAAACTTACTTAAATATTAGTGAACAAATGTCTCACTGGAAGTTTTGTCAAATCTAAAATTCCCTGCAGACTTTTTGCTTGCCAAAAAAACGTAACTACCGACAGCTGTCTATTTGCATTAAAAAATTAATAAACAATCAATTATTTTTTCATATTTCATTGTTTTATCGCCTTCAGTACACCCAACTGCGTGTATATACCAAATTATAATCAAATCCGTTAATAACTTCAAAAGATACAATGATTTATGTTTTAAAAGTTAATTAAATTTTTGAACTTTAAATTTTCACATTTTCGTCATAATTATTTAAAATATTTGCCCTACAAAAAAAAGTCAAAGGAAAAAAATATGCGCCTTTTCATTTCCTATATGGTAGAACTTTTTAAAAATCAAAATTTTGATTTTCGATTTTGTCCCCCTTTTTGAAGGTTTGACTGGCTTCAGAGCGTACAGCCAAGCGTAGCGCGAGTTAAGGCGCATTCAGACCTCTCGGCTGCCTGCCTGCTGCAGTTGCCATGGAGATCGATGTGAACTTTTGTGAAGATAACACGTGAATTATAGCGGCGAGAAAAATTCCTCGCCATCTAAAATATTTGTGAAAATTTTAAGTGAAAAATATTAAAATACAAAACCCTAAATAAATTTAACAAGGAGGGGGTCCTTTATGTTTATTTCATAAACATTATGCTTCCTCATTGTGTGAAGCAAAAAATTCGCTTCCTCGTGAAGGAAGCAATGAATTTGTCCAATTCAATTGATTGATTTAAAAAATTTCGAGTTAAAAATGTTTTAAATTAATTAAATTTTTTGAAAAATAAAGAAAATTTTAATTAATTTTGAGTGTAACATAAACTTTATATATACGAATCGATTCGTTTTAATGCAAGGAATACAATTATTTTATTCATCAACTTGTATTTAAAAAAAACACAAAATTTTTTAGCTAAAATATGAATTTTCGATTTTTCAATTTTTATTAATTCTCAAATTTTAAATCAAATCTATACTTTATATATACCAACCAATTCGTTTCAATGCAGGGAATAAAATTATTTCATATAGAAACATGAATTTAAATAAACACATCATTTTTTAGCTAAAATGAGAATTTTTGATTTTTTAACTTTCTTTAATTCTTTAAATTTCAATCAAATCTATACTTTATATATATCAATCGATTCATCTTGACATAAAGAAGACGATTATATTATATATTACCTTAAATTTTTCGATTTAAAAATTTTTTCAATTAAAAAAAAATTTTTGGAAAAAAGACGATAAAATTTTTTTTTTGGGGTATTTTTAAAAATCCTCTCGTCATTTTTGAGAGATTAATGTGTTAAATAAGCCTACCAAATTTTATCCAAATCCATTAAAACCCGTTAAAGATATCGTGTTCACAAAAACGATCCACACACACATACATACATCCGGACAATTGATCAGGATCTCATATAACATGTTTCTATATAGAGGAAAATTTGTTTTCACCATTTTTAAAAAGTTTATAAACGAAAGGACTACATAGCTTCCTCCACGAGGAAGCAAAATTAAATAAATATATCTCTTGCATAAACTAAAGTGAAATCAATAAAACTACAAATTAAATTAAATCTCCGCCACGTGCCAACAAATCAAGCCGGAAATCCATAACCTCAACTATACTACCGAAAGAATAAGACATAAAATTAAAAGACTCAAATCAAATCAAGGAAAGAGGACGTCATTTCCAACCTCATGAATATATTCCATAAAAACCTTTTCAATCTACGATCACCAAAAACAGGTATAGATTTAATAGTTAATTGTAAGGTTGGTTTGACGCTAATGCTTTAAGTTGGTACGTAAATTGCAAGCTTTATTACTTACAAAATTTTACTAACAACAATAAAAATTGTTTAGAAATAATATAAATAAAAATTCCAATTTTAATTCAATAATTTTGTATAAACCATAATATCAAATATAGTAAAGTTCAATTTGACTGTTTGGACGATTTAATAAAATTCTCTAAAGCGTTCATTGATTCATGAAATATTAACATTTTGCTTAATAAATAGTAATAAGAAAACTAAAAGTAAACAAAAATAACCTTGAAGTATTGACATAATCACAACAACATCGAAATCAGTGAATATTTGAGAAATAAAATAAGAAGCAATTAAATTACTTGAAATAAAATAAAACTATAATATAAAATGGATTTTATAGGTTTTGTTTCGCCTCATGCTTCCGGGTCTGTTCCACACACATCTACACCGAAGGCACACGAGAATGATTCATCTGTATTTATCATTTCGGAACAAATCGAAGAAAGTGATATAAAGATGAGGGATTCCAATCGATTGAACCAAGATCAGCTATTTATGGACAGTCAAGGAAACAAAGACAAACAAGAACACGACGGAGAAAGAACAACTAAACGAAAACGTACCACAGAGACACCCGAGAGAGATGAACTTGAGCAGAGAGATGCGGCAAAAGAAAAACAAATTCCAAACCAAATCTAATCCATATCACAACCACCTGCCCAAAATCCAATTCCTGATCCATCTCAACGGGAAGATGTTAATCACATTTGGTATTCCGAAAATACAACACATCAACAAGAATTGAAATATAAATCCTGCATGGCCCCTCCATATATTGTAATGATTCAATATAATAAAAATCAAACCCAGTCATCAAACGAAGGAAGGTACAGCCCAATTGCATTCGCGAAGAAAATTAGGGAAATTACACCAGGACCTTTAACTATAACAGCAAATGGACAGAATAGCATGAAAATAAATTGTCTTAAATGTGAGGATGCTAATTTAATACTAACACATTTTAGGAACACAATTTCTTGCTATTCAGTCAGCGTACCCATTTCGCTTTTTTTTAAAAGGGGTTTTATTAAAAATGTCGAGGTAGAAACAAATCTCCCAAAAATTTATGACTATATGGATGAAAAATCTAAAGCCATGGTTGTAGGTTTAAAACGCAGAACAAATTTCAACGGAACACCAATTGATGCAATTGAGATTACTTCTAACACTCCGATCGTACCTCGCTTAATTAATATCTGTGATTTTCTCTTTCAAATTACTCCAATCATTCCACCCCCTCCTCGATGTTTTTGTTGCCAACGTTTTAGGCACACAGCGGATCAATGCAGATCTGCACTTCCCGTCTGTGAATTTTGCAGTCAACATCACCCAACCGACTCATGTCCAAATAAAACCTAACTATATCCCCTATAAATTTGGGTAATTGGTGGCGAAATTCACTAGACATAACAGCTATAGGAATACAATCTTTAATTGGAAGAATAACAATATTCTCGATATATATTCCCCCTAACAGAAATATATCCAAACAGGATTGGACTAGGATATTCTCCCTTATAACATCATTTCCACATCCTGTTATATATGGTGATTTTAATGCACATTCCCCATTTTGGGGACATGCTCAACAAAACTGTGCCGGGGAAATATTGGAAGAGATTATAGATGATTTTTCATTTGTTGTAGTGAATAATGATTCTCCAACATACCACAATTCTTATAACAATACATCAAATATTTTGGATTTGGTATTGGCGATCCCGGTGTTGGCTTCCAAGATGAATGCTGAAGTCTTAGAATACTCATACTCTTCTGACCATTTCCCAATTATTACACAAATAAATTTATTTTATAACTATTCAAAATCTAATAGTATGAGATATAACATCACGAAAGTCAATTGGGAAAATTTTCATACATTAATGAAATCAATGACTGAAAGATTAATATCTGAGATTGAACAAAAGACTAAATCTCTTTCTATTGAAATATATTCAGAATTTCTTAATAATACCATGCAAATTTTAAAAGACACAGGGGGGTTTCGTAAATCTGACCAATCGAATAAACCAAAAAAAGAAAAACCAATATGGTGGAACGATGAGTGTACACGCGAGGTAGATAGAAGATCAAAAGCGAGAAAAGAATATTTGGGGAACCAAACGATTCAGGTATTACAGATTTTTTTAAGAATTGACACAGAAGTTAAAACTTTTTTAAGAAAACAAAAACAAATTTCCTTTAAAGAATTTTGCCAAAAAATCAACCCTTCTCTAGGTCAAAAAAAAATATGGGGTATTGTCAAGGGATTTCAATCTACTGGCACAATGAAGGCCACAAATATTTATAATGACTCTTCAAGTCAGGAAATTTTGCAACTGCAACAAGACTTGGTAAATTCCGAAATAACTGAAAAAACGTTCCATATAATAACCATCCAGATGAGAACAATTTATTTGATAAACCTTTCTCAATAATCGAATTCGACCATGCATTGTCCAATTGTAAAAAGGACACAGCACCAGGGAGAGACTCAATAACTTACTCAATAATAAAAAGATTTCCTCCCATCTCAAAAGGATTCCTCTTGAATCTGTTCAATTATTTCTTTTTGCAAAGTATATTTCCGGAGGGGTAAAAATGTATTAGCACTATCGATTGACATAAAAGGGGCTTATAATTGTGTTCTTCCCGAGGTTCTTCTAAGAAATTTAATGGATAAAAATATTCCGGCAAGAATCTTTAACTTTATAAACTTTATGATAACATCTCGTAATTTATACTTCTCAATCACAGAAGAACAACCACAAAAAACCTATGTAGGGGTTCCTCAAGATGGAGTTTTATCTCCTTTACTATATAACATCTATACCAGTAAAATTTTGGAACACATTGAGCAAAACATTAATGCAACCATATATGTAGATGACATTTTTCTATATATTATTTGTAAATCTATAAACTATGGACTTGAGGAAATGCAACATGCTATGCATAGTCTCTCTCAATGGTTAGGTTCACTTGGGTTTAAAATTTCCTTACCTAAAACTCACTTATGCCTATTTTCTAGACAACAAATTGATATACAAAACATAAAATTAGACTTCAACAACTTCGAAATTCCATGTCAACAAAAGGTAAAATATTTAGGCGTGATTTTTGACTCAAATTTGAGCTGGAAATCACACATAGATGCTTTGGTAATACAAGCTTCCAAAGCTGTCAACACAATGAAAGCACTAACAAGGGTTTCGGGGGGAACCTCTTCTGAGTGTTTATTGATAATTTACAAAGGATTGGTAAGAGCCATACTAGAGTGGGCGGCAGTACTCTTTGCTGGTGCAACAAAGAAACAATTATCGCGTCTAGATAGAATACAGAATTCAGCACTTAGAATAGTTCTTGGATGTATGTCCTCTACACCACTGTACTTTTTGTTGATTGAATCGGGAGAATTACCTCTTAAAATAAGACGAAAGTATTTATCTCAAAAATTTGTTATTCGAAATTGTATATGGATGGAAAATCCTTTAAGAATGAGACTAAAATTAGCAAAGGCAAGAATAAATAGAACTAGGAAACCAAAAAAATACGTAACGAACGCGGGTTCTTTTTGCACTTTTAATGAAATACATGAATTAATAAAAGAATGCTTTTTAACACAAAAACCATTATATTTTGATACTAATTGGGCTGACATTTCCTTAATAATAAATACTAATACAACCATAGGCTATGATCACGGTGTAAGAAAGAAAGTTGAATTGACTTCCTACCCCCACCACCAAAATTGTGTTTGCTTAAAGATTTGTTTCTCGGAGTATGAATCAGATGTCGCATTGTAGTTCATGTTACGATTCCTAACCTAAAAATTATTTTTGACATGTTGTTGGTAAACACATCGTTTTGATTTAAAATTGAGTAATAAAATTAAAAAATGGTAAGACGCTGTTGCGTAAAATCTTGTGAGAGTCGCGACTTAAAGAAGGAAAGAGAGAAAAGTGGGAAAATATTTTAAGTACAAACATAAGTGCAGCCGCTTACGTTTGTGAAAAACATTTTCACGAAAATGATATTAAAAAAGGTGAAGTTGTGCGCGATGCTGATGGATTTATTATGTATTGTGTAAGTATTTCCTATTTATAAAATTTATAATAAAACTTGATAATACTTTGTCTTTGCTATAAATGCATTTCAAATATGACGAGCAAGTTTTCAAAAGTTGATAAATTCATTTATTTAAAAATTTGAGATATACATAAATTTAATATTTTTAAAACCTTACAAATCGATCTGTTACTGTTAAATTTAAGAAAAAAATGCATTAACATTGAATTTTTAATTTATTAACTTTTTAACATTACTAAGGTGATTTATAATTTTTATTTTTTTACAGAAAAAATTATCAAAACCTATATCAATCACTTGATTATGATAAAGTTTAATTGAAAACAAAATGTCTTAAATATAAAAATATTGTTGTAAAAATAAATTATTACATTTGTATTTAAAAATTAACTGTAGTGTTTATGTAAGAAAAGTCATTGGTTTCAACTTCTGGAAATAAGAAAATATGGATTTATCAAATTTTGTAAACATTCTCCTGATATATAGCATAACATTTTTATTTTAGAGAATCAATATATTATTCACTACTTTTCAATAATTTTATCTCTTTATTTACTTAAAGAACATTTTATTTTCTGTATATGTATTTGTAAAAAAATTTATATAATTTGCTTCAGTGTCACTTTTCGTCAAAACGACTGGTCAAAGGAGCTTTTCCTTGCAGTCATGATAATTCCGATTGTGAAGAGGAGTTTCCATGTAGTAAAAGGTTTAAAAGTGATGTGGATGAATGTTTCTCAGAAAATCTTTTAGAAGAAAATATGAATATAGACGATTTACCCTGTAATAAAAGTGAAATACAGGAAGAATTAATTAATAGTAGCCTAAAGCCCGAAGATCCTAATGTCAACAATACAGTTCCTATAATCAGTTTATATGAAGATTTAGTACAAAATTTAGGAAATTTAAAGCTGCCAAGGGATGAATGGGGAACAACGCACTGCAAGCAAACCAAATTACCACTAAACAGGTATTTAAATATAGGAATATTTTTCTATAAATTGAAATATTTTTTTAAAACGAAATAATCATTTTTTACTCAAGTAACAAATTTATGTTTTAGGTAACGGTTAATGGTGAATCTGAGGTGCATTTGATATTCTTAGGACAAAGTCTTGAATTGGATTGCGTAAAAAACAAACCATCAAGTTTCAAGGAGTTTGAAAAATTACTTTTTGAAATAGATAAATTGGAAACTTGTGTAGGAGGTCCCGGCAGTCATATGTATAAAAATATTCATCCTGAGTGTGCACAACGAGATGGAGTAACATGGAGGCATAACAAATGTCCAAAAGTTATGGACAACGGAACCGTATGCTCTTATTGTCTTTCATTATATCAATTATTACCTCAAAATTTGAAAAGGCAAGACAAATCAAAAATAAGAGTTAGAGTACCAGGAACACCGACAACACGAAATAAAATCAGACTATCAATAAAAAGGCAGCAAGTTGTAAAACAAAGACTCACTAGGAAAGAAAAAAAGCTTGAAGAATTACAGATAGAACTGAGTGAAGTACAAGATCGGTTGAATGTAATGGAAGAATCGAGTTTTGCAGAGAAGCTTAGAAGTTGTTCGGAAAAACTTCCTGCAAATCAGGTAAACATAAAATTTTGGTGAAAAGAATATGGGATTTTTATTTTTAACGCAGATGGAATATCTCGATCAATTTTATTATTCTATTAAAAATTTATTTTTACAACTGTTTTGTAATAGATTTGTAGCATGATTGGGGTATGAAGGTTTTTAATTTAATTACTTTTTTATTATATGTATATTTATAAGACTTATTTTTTTCTAATTTATTTACAATAAGTTACATCTAATTAAATTAAAGAAATAATTTTTTTAATGCTGTTTATAATCAGCACATCTTTGATAGATTTCGATAATTATTAAATTTCGGTATTTTATAATAATTATTAATAATTATTAAATTGATTTTTACAAATTATATTCGATTAGTGTACTTTCAGCTATATTGTACAATAAAAAGAGTCCAATTGAATTATGTAATAATAAACAATTTTACAAACATGATAAATGTTTTCATTAAATTTCCCCTTCTTTGTAGGTGACATTAATCGAAGAATGTTGTGCGGCTGGTAAAGTTAAAAGTAGTCATGGTCGGCGTTATAGTCATGAGTGGTTATTATTGTGCTTGTTAATATACATTCGCAGTTCTGCGACGTATAATATGCTAAGAACAAACAATATTTTACCACTACCTTCAAAATCCACCATCATTAAATATTTGCGAGCCTCAAAATCAACTTGTGGGTTTGATGACCAATTTTTTGCTATGTTCGAAAAACAATTGTTATTATATCCGGAAATAAGTCGAAATGGAGTTTTAACTTTTGATGAAATTGTAGTTCGCAAAAGTATTGAGGTGGATATGAAAACTATGACGTTTGCTGGGTTACAATATTATGGTGAAGACATGGAAGATCGTAATGGCTTGACTCTTAAAGAAGAAGCAAATTATGCCTTAGTCTTCATGTTTTCATCTCTATGTCAAAATTTTCATCAACCTATTGCTATATTTGGGTCGAAAGGAACGACACCTTCGAATGTTCTGTCAATTCTAGTATTACAAGCAATTATTAAAATTGAAAAGGCTGGTGGTAAGGTCCATGGTATTGTTTGTGATGGTGCCACTACCAACAAAAGCATGTGGACCAGTTTTGGAATCAGTGGTAAGCTGGACAAACTGAAGTTTTGTTTTGACAATCCGTATGATGAGAATCGCGTTATATACGCAATGTCCGATGTTCCACACTTAATAAAAAATATTAGGAATAGGCTGCTTGAAAAAAGAATACTGAAGGTAAAAAACTTACTAGCTGCTAATTTTATTGTATTTGTTGAAAATAATTTCTTATAATTAGATCTTTTAATAATACTTCTTAATTTTAGGTCAGAGGTGAAGTTGTCAAATGGGAATACTATGAATCCTTATATTATAGGGATTCTCAAAATTCTTTGAGAGTATGTCCAAAATTGACGGCTCATCACATTAGAGTTACCAACGCAATGAAAATGAAAGTCTCTTATGCCACTCAGGTAAAACTTTTAGAAAATTTTGTTTCATTCTTAATTACTATTTTATTACATTATTGTTAGAATATTAATATAATGAGAATAATTTAAATTTCAATTTACCTTATTTAGTTTATTTTTTCGTAATTTTTAGATATTTAGTAAGTCCGTTGCTGATGGTTTGGAATTCTATCGACAACAAGAAATGCGAGAGAATGTTGAAAGAAAACATTTTGAAGGTTGTGAAGGCACCATAGCTTTCACACTTCAAATAAATAATTTGTTCGACTCATTAAATAGATCATTTCCAAAAGAAGGAATTAGAATTGGTAGTTCAGATTTAGAGGTGAATTAACAATATAACAATTATAAGAAGTTCATTTTTCTGTTTTTATATCTTCAATATATAAATTTTTATTTTTTCTGTAGGTGATGACAAATTCAATTACTTGGTTGGATGAGTGGGAAAAAAATGTTCAATCTCCAAATGACTTTCTCACAAGTCAAACTGGACATGGCTTACGTGTAACGTTGCATTCAGCTTTAAATCTAACAAAACTCTTACTTGATAAGTATGAATTTCGTTATATTTTAACTGCGAAAATGAATCAAGATTGCTTAGAGGTAAATTGTTATTTTTAAAATTTTCTTATATAAAAAGACAATTTTTAAGGAATATATTTTTTTAGCAATTCTTTGGCATTATCCGACAAGCAGGGTGCCAAAACGACCATCCAACTTTTGTCTCATTCAAACAACTGTACCACTTACTGTCGGTTTATAAAATATTAAAACCACAAAAATTTGGAAATTGTACAGTAAGAGAAAAGGCCGAAGAACGCCAAGAAATCACGTTGCAAGATTTTAAAGAAATATTTAAAAACGATTGTAAATCGTATAAACAAGTACATTTACAAAACTTAAAAGAGAAAATTGATCATCTCATAGAATCATCAGATTGGGAATGCGATGAAGTTATTGAGAGTGATTACTCGATGAGCGAAATTACAGACTGTATAATTTATTATGTTACGGGTTTTATATGCCGAAAATATTTGAAGAAAACAAAATGTGAACGATGTCGAAAAGCCTTCTCTACTAGATACGAAAACGTAATTTCCGGTTGTCAAGAATCACAATTAGTTGCGTTAAAATCACTAGGTGGCTTGATTCATCCAAATCTGCATTTAGTGAGATTATTTCAAAAAATTGAAAACCATTTTCAAAATCATCTCGATTCAGGCAATATTTATCATGAAGTACTATCAGAACTAAGTGAAGGTTTAGAGCGTTTGACATTTCCCTGTGAAGAACACATGGACACGATGGTACCTTCTTTAATTCATTATTACTTACTAGTAAGAATGCGTCAATTTTCAAAATTGAAAAATAAGGAAGAAAAGAAGCAGAGCAGAAACAAAAAAAAATTGCAAAATTATATGACTGTTAGCTGTTACAAAATGTTTAAAACATAAGTAATATATATTTAAGAAATAATTTTTTTTAAATAATGGAAAGAACATGTAGAAAATATAAATTTATTCTACGAATATTATACCTATGTTATAAATGTAAATTAATGATGTTTTACGTTTTACATATTTATATTTTCATGTTATTGATTAAAAAAAGCACCAATTTTTAATATTAGAGGATATAAAAGAAACGTTAAGAATTTAAAACCAAAAAAGTTGCAAAATTAAAGACTGCGTCATAAAATTGTTAGTCATTTTAAGCAATTTATTTATGAGATAAATATGTTTTGTAAATAATTCTTATATATATATTTAGGAAAATAAACATATATTATATATACATTTGTATGAATATATTACAAATGTACATTAATAATAAGAGTGTTCAAAAATTTTCTTACTTTATTATTATTAAAATAATATATTTTATTTCACGAATATATTTGTATAATTGATATTTAATAAAGTGCTAACCAAAAAATTGTATTCATAATAAGAAAAATTTAATGTATAAAGTAATATTATTGGTATTATTTGCATATAGTTAAAATTTTTATACATGTATAATATTACTATATAAATTATTATTACTAGATATACTAAATATAGTTGAATTCTGATAGAAAAATATCATATTCATGTTGATCTGCCTATTTTCTGTAAAATTTGAAGTTTTATTTATTTTCAAATGTGGCGGTATTAGGCGTCACACCATCTACACTTCGCCATCTAGCGGATTTTTGAAAAAGGAAATCTGTAATAATACAGTAGTATGAGTTCAGTCGATTCACCTTTCTTTCTTACACCGTGGCTATGATATTAAAAATTCACGGGATCCAGGTCGTTTGCTATCGGATTTCCTTAAAAATGAATTTCCTAATGGAATATACATATATACAGATGGTTCAGTTAACACCGAACATGAACGTGCAGGGTCGGGATTTTTCGTATCACAAACCAAAATAAGATATGGAGTTCCAATCTCTAAATATTCCTCTACACTAACTGCCGAATTATATGCAATTTATATCGCTATTAAATATGTGATCGCAGAAGGAATTCAAAGATCAATAATCCTTACGGATTCATTGGACTCCATTAATGCAATCGTAAACCGAAGAAATCTTAAACATAATGATTCTAATATCCCGCATAAAATAGCTGAAATACTTGCAAACAATCCTACCAACTATGAATTTTCCTTAATCTGGATTCCTTCCCATCACAAAATATATGGTAACGTAATGGCAGATAAAGTTGCCAAAGACGCCTCATCTCTCATGCTTAATCCGAAAAATGTAACTTCTCTTAATGATATGTATACATATTTTAAAAAATTGAACAAGAATGAGGCAAAAAGAATGTGGCCCTACAAAAAACATTCACATGCTGCCAATAGAATTTTGTACGAATTAAAGTTTGAATCACGAAGACCTTGGTTCAAGGGATTGGAATTGCCAAGAGGTCCAACTAATTTAATCACGCTCTTAAGATCGGCACATACATGCACAGCTGAACACTTCATGAGGATGGGGTGGAACATACCAACGGAATGCGCGTGTGGAAGAGATGATGATAAAACATTATCACATCTCCTTAATGATTGCTCCTTATTGTCCCCAGGACGCCCTCAATTATTTAGTTTTTTAAACACCCAAATAAGGGATTTTGTGACCCCTATATATAACCTGGATAAATTTGTTTTTAAACCAACAAAAGAACTTGCAAATGAACTATTCCATCATCTTAATAATTACTCGAGATGAAAGCCTGTGAAGTTCTTAATTTCAACGAGATTTTTGGTGCAATATGTGATCTGGGGATACAATTTTGATAACACTAACCTCTCTGCCCCACAACTCGGGTCAGCCCCCACCATCACACCGAACTTACCTCTGTATGTGTACATATATAGTGCATGTAAAGTTCATAGCTGACTCGACAAATCCATGAAAACTTGCCGTTCTTGCTTACTTAAGAATAAAGCAACATTCACATGGTATATGCGTGGCGGAGTAGTGAAGTGTTAATTTCCAAATTAATCATTTTTAATAAACGAGTAATAATGACGACTAATAAATGTATAAAATGCAAAAACTTCTAAATAAAAATTAACATTTATACCAACAAATAAATGAATAAGTGAATTCGTGATAATATTCTGGATACATAACTGGAACAAAAAGTGAAACT